CAAAATACGTTTTGCAGGACTCTCTAAACACTTGCAAATGGTTGAAATTAAAAGTTTAACATTTCAACTTTGCTTTTTTACCTAATTGTGAGCGAAGCGAAATGAGACCCTGCAATCTGAAGATGTTTTTATTGCAAAGGGCTGCATAGGTGGATCACTAGTCCCTTGTTTTTGTGCCTCTGAACAGGCTGCACTGTGCCTATAGAGTCCATGTGTCTTCTGCTGAGGATCCTATTGCATAATTATGTACCAAAGTGCTTTCAAAAGCAGTAAAATTGCCCATTTTTATTTGTGGACAGGTTAAAGTCTACAGATTGGTTGGAATCCAAGCTGTGTGCTGAGACTGGGTCATTCCACACTCCAACAACAGGCTTCTTTCCTCTGTTATCACATTCTGGCCTGAACTTCCGCTGTGCTGCCTTCAATTTACATACAAGTTAAAGTATAATCTGAGCAAATATCACCATTCACCAAAATGCCCTCGTAGGCTCACTTCTCTAAACTTCACATTAAATAGGTCTTTATATGGTCAGACTCATCCACTTTGAGAAAACGCACTTCTCTGTGTTATGGTGCAGAAATAACTTTGGCTGCATCAGCTGATGAAATAGTTAGTATTTATCAATAAATAAATAAATAAATAAATAAATAAATAAATAAAATAAAAAATACTGGAATATGAAGCATTAAGCAGCCTTTAACCCATGGCTGTTTGTTAGCTCCTCCTGACAGACAGGACAGTCAAAGTGTTTTCTCCCTGCATCACATGCTCTAGTAGTTCATTCTCCTCTTGGCTCCGTTTCAGGTTTTTCTTATTAAGACTTATTTCTTACTTGAAGCAGCGTTTTTATTTCCTTCCTATGAACAGCCAGGGAATCAGAAAACCACAGTTGTCCATGCTTTAAGTTTGTATTGTCTTAGAGTTTTACTTGAACTGAGGACTGTTCTGGTGTGGTCTGAACATACAATCCCAGAATATGTACAATCACCAGTATAATATATTTTAAAAATATCTCTTAAAGAAAACAATAACTATTTGTTTCACTTGTCCAACAGCTTTCCTGCTTTATTACCATGTCTTTATGGCTTTGAATCTCTGCATAATTTCCGCCACTAGGTGGCAGCCTTCAATGCAAATATCTCCTGAAGGCATGTGAGTGGCACATGGGAGAGACCAGGAAGTATAACCCTTTTGAAGGCATTTACAAAGTTCTGTTTGTTGCTTTTGTCAGATCAAACTTTAGCTCCACATAAACACCGATGACTGCCTCACTTCTCTGTAGAACCTGCTGGGGCAGGCCAGCTTTTCTCATTATCAGTGTGATGGTTACTCTTTGGACTCCAAATACCTATACCAACAGGTGCTCATCTCAGCAGAAGAATGCATTTCACCACATGCATCCAGCTATAGATCCCCGGACTGACAACTGCAATCCAGCTGTGTTTTTTTTTTTTTTTTTTTTGTCACTGGAAATATTCCTCTCATAATCCCGTTTAAAGACCAACTTTAACATCTGAACTTTAGAAGTCAGTTGCTGCAGGGCAAAATTAAATACAGGAGTAAAGTAAGGAGTGTCAGTACAAAATGAGTTATTCAGAAAATGATTCAAATTTCTTGATTTTGGTTGATACATTTAAACAGTTATTTAATTTGATAACAAAACCAGAATAAGTCTGGTAATTATTTGAAGGGATGTGCACAAGACTGACATGACACTGTCATAAACATAACATAGCACCTTTCTTCATCATAGTTATGACTGTTGTCATTAAACGTCATTCAGTAACTAATAACACTTTTGATAAAAAGTTAACATTGTTTAACATGTCTTTGTTACATTAACCAAGTATTCTCTTCTGTCATAAATATGTCATAGCAGCTATTAATTATCAAACTTTAAAAAGTTTTGTATCTTTGTCTATAATTATTACTGTCATTTAATGTGAGTTTTAAATGTGATAATTATGAGACTATTATAATTGTTTTATTTCTTTTATAACAATAAAAGTGTTCTGATGATGTTATTCTAACAATGCCATTATGTATATAATGTGTTTTGTTATATTATATTCAGTGTCTTGAACTAATTGCTTAGCAGGTTTCTTCGTCATTTAAAGGGTCTTTTAAATAGATAAGTCATTTTCCATGGAATGTGGAGTTTTTGATCAACTTGCAAAGAACTTTAACAGTCTCAATGCCATTCATGAAACAGCCAGTATTCTGATGAAGTTAAACTCCACAGATATCATTTTTTAGAGACATTCAGAATTAGTTTTAATTTCATCTGATGTTCTTGAGCATCATACTGCTTCAATCACAATCTCTATCATTGTCTTAGCTTTCATGCTTGAAGGAAGATTTTTTTTCTTCCAAGTAAAAATAAAAAGTTTACTTGTGATGTGACCTGCTTCAGCTGCAGCCAAATGTAGGGACCAAAATAAATATGTACAGAAGCTATGTGGACACCTGTCCTGGTCTGGCCAAGGCCACAGTGAAACACAAATACCAACAAAGCTTCAGGCAGCAGACTTTGAATTTTAGTCTGGGCCCAGATATTTAGATGGTTCCATAAGTAAAACCAATCTGTAGATAAATTGTTGGATCCTGGATCCTGGACTGAAGGAGCTTCATCCATACCTGGCCTGCTTTCACTCATTCGGTTCTTCTGGAAGTTTCTGCCTGTAAAAGAGAATTACTTCTTCAGGATTGAGGCTAAATATTTAATGCAGGCCACTCAGTTACTTACACACAGTTTCATTTCTGTATGATTGATGAAACCTGACAGTGTTATATCATAACTGGACTGTATGTGGTTGAGTATAAATTCTGTGAGTGTGGACATTAAAAAGTATGTAATACAGAGTTTCTGACAAAAAATAGGAAGAAATATGTTGAGGTATGATTGTGTGTGTGTCTAAAGCAGACTACATTTAGATGTTCTTTAAATGATTTTGAACATTTCTTTTCTTCGTAGATATAACAAAGCAGGATTGAACTGAGAACACATGAACAAAATGTCTCTTCGATGTTTTTAAGGGGAAGACCTCCATTAGTCTAGATTTGTGATGGTTGGAGCAGCTTTTATTCTGATTCATTGCATGTTTAGAAAATGAATCCCTCTGGTTCTGCATGCTGTGCAGCTGGAAAGATTTTGTTTTTTATGTGTCTCTCATGTTGCTAAGTCCTGAAGGGCCGGACTGTAGAGTCTCTGCTTCAGCACACCTGGCTGTGATTAGCTCAATAGCAGAGCTCCGTGGAGCTTGACTCCATGCTATGGAGGAAGTTTCACCATTTAATTGCAGTGTGTGGGACAAGGGACACGTCTAAAGGCGGCAGGACTCTGGCACTTGAGAACGACAGTTGGAGATCACTGTCAACACAGGATGATGCTAAAACATCTCAGATCAGTAGATCCAATGCAGCTGTGAGGATCGTAAATTCACCAATCACACTTGACTCTTCTCCAGCTGTTATGATGCTGCTTGGTTTTTAAGACACTGACCTGTTTCACAGCAGCAAATTGCTCTTTACACTAAAGCTTAAAATGATTTATTTAGGCTTCAAATGGTCTTTTAATTCTAACAGCTTGTTGCTTTTGACTGGAAGCAATAATATGAGTGGAGGGACCTAAAGATTAGAAAGAAGTAAAGGAGGCATTTCAAGCTCAATCAATCAGAGCTCTTCACCAAAGAAAATCAATATATTAAAGCCAAAACTCAATAAGAACCAAACAGAACAAAAATTTAAATCATGGAAAAAACTGTTAAGCAATTAGTTTGATTGCTGTAAAAATATGCCAATTCATATTTTTCTGTTGAGACTTTATACCATTTTTAAATCAAATGGATAAATTAATACTTTCATAATTAAATACATTTTGATCAATTCTTAATTTCCAAAGTGATGCCATGTCTGTATTATTTAACTATTTTTGAGATCTAATTATTTGAGATTTCTGTCCCATTTAGAATCACAACTTTGTGATTATAAAAATAATTTTATGTCTACCGGTTTAAACGTGAAATTATTTTCATCAAAATTGTTTCAATATTAATGCAAGGATCTTTGAAAAAACAGTGTTTAAAATGATTTATACCAGCAACAACATACTTTAGTTTACTTTGATGAAACTACTGAGCAGCTTTTAACCTCACTGCTATTGTATGAGCGACTTTTCTGCAGTGAGATTCATGTGTTTGGGGTTGGATGGCGTCTTGCTGTCAAGACGCCATCCAAAAGGCAGAATTCATCCCAAAGGCTTCAGCTTTGGGATGAATAATGTCTAAATCAGGTCAGAAATATGGAACCAAAATGATGCTTCCAGGAAGAACAAACATATTGGTCAAGTTGAAGTTGAGTTGAAGATTGTTGGTGGCACACTGACCCTTGCCTGTATTTCCAGTGCAAACAAGATAAAAGACGAGTTCATAAAACACTGTTCACATAAACTGCTATCATTTTTGAGACTCAAAGAATGTTAAGAGGGCAGAAGTCAGATTTGATCTTGTGTTAGCTCCAACATATCAGAGGCCAGACAGTTATCTACTGCAGGTGAGATATAAGCTGCTGAATGAATGTTATAACAAAAGCTTTTGTAAAACACTGTTTTAGCTGATGAAGAAATGTTTTCAAAATAGTCAAAACTCTTCCATCAAACATACTGTGCATGATACAAATGGTATTTAAAGGCTGGAAATGATTATCTCTCTAAATTAGAGACAAACAGCTCCAGTCCAAGGCGGCTCACATTAACTTTACGTCTGCTGATTTTTAAATAACCATATTGTATTTGCAAGATAAAATATCAAAAATATGAGTATGAATCTTAAACACTGGCAATCTGCATGTGATACTTACTGGCAGCCACACCTGAGACAATACATTTGAAATCCTCTTCATTGTTTACAAAATGAATACATTTGTGCAGCAACTCAAGGGCAACTCAGTCCAACATTCTGAGCAAGATACAAGAAACAATGACAAACTATTAGGAGAAATATGTTTTAATTATCAGCAACCCTTGAGGTATGCGTTAGCCATGTGCACAGCACATGTAAAGGTACATTTAGAGACCTGTATAAAACTACAGGACAACTTACAGAATACAAATAGAAGATACAAAACTGCTGTAAGACCACTTGAGATTAAGAATCAGTTTAGTTTTTGTCATTTTCCCTGAATGAAATTTGAAAAGCATATAGTAGGTTACATAACATATAGTTCACAGACATGAAAAAAACAATGTGAAAAGAGAAATTCAGCTATTTTACTACTCTTCACTCCTGATGCATCACCAGATAAAAAGGTTCACTTTCAAGGATTTATAAAATTTGAATAAAACTTGTAATTCTTTTCGACTAAGTCACTTTAACTTTTTACGTAAAAAGTTGCTTCCTCATTTCTCTATGGCTATGGGTTGGCTAGCTTATTCATTTTAACATTTCTTTCATTACTTTTAAATTCAAAATAATATTTTATGTTTGACCAGAGACCTTTCAGATGGAAGACTCAGATGTCTGGATAGTAGAACCTCTTGGTAGGGCAGAAATGATGTGATGTGGCTCAAGTGATTCTGTCACTAACCACACTCAGCGGAGCCTGTAGATCTTTTTGCAAAAGGTGGGCTTTGCCATTTGCAGCCTGCAGATTTAGGAGTTGATCTTCTGTGCTGGATAACCAAATGATCAGGTGGGATAAAAGGCTGGCTCAGGGTCATTGGAGTGCATACAGGTAAACATGCTGCACGTCATGCAAAGCAGGGAGACTGCTGAGCAGCGAGCCCAGCTGTGGGCACCAGACACAGCATATGTGTACATATGCTGTTTGTACACAGCATATGTCCTTGAATACTGTGCTGGAGCAGGAGGTGTTTCAGGAGTTGCACACTGTAACTTTAGCACTTGTTTTGAAAGCTGAACTTATGTTTCACAGTTAGCCTGCAGAGTTTAGATCACTGTGGATTTCCACGGCGGGTCGCAGGATTGGCCTTAAGTCACTTCAGAAACAGTTTGCATGAGATTTGTTTAAGCTATTTGCACCTGAATAGCTAGCGTGTGCATGCAGCGTGTCTGCCTGCTCTGCTAATTTATTACCACTACTTGCTATCACTAGCAGAAGGGAAAGCACTGCTGCCCCCAACAAGAGCCAGGCTGCTACTATTAGCACCATTATTATGGAATGTTGAAATGGAGGTTTCAAATGTCTTTCCCAAAAAAGACACAAAAACAGAGAAAATAAGATACTACCTCACTCCAACTGCTGTTATTAAATATTGACTGAAAACCTTGATCACAAAATACGAGCAAATCAAGAACCCTAAGCTTTCATACAACTATTCCAAACCAGGTCTGTTCATTTCAAGTTGACAGCCTTTTTTATCACCTTCACTTTCAAAATATATACAGAAAAACATTGACTTACAGAGTCTAGCATATAATACGGTTCAACAGCTGTCTGTAAATTTTTCTTGCATGATTATTTTGTCTAAAAGTATATCGCGGGGTAAAGATAGCCGGAACGTGACAAGGCACAACTAGGACAACATCGCCACCAGAGCCGGCTCGGCCTGCAGGAAACCTCTAGGACTCAGAGAGACAGAGACAAATGCTAGAAGGAGGGAGGGCAGACGACACAAATGTACAGTGAGCAGAAGTAGGTCAACACAGCAGCTTACACTGGAAGTTAAAGCAAAGACTGGGATGAAGTGTTGGTTTAGTAAAATCTAAAATCTTACAAGCACAGGTGGAAATATTTTGTTCCAAAACTGGGCAACTGCTTGCAACTCACAAAGAATATAAATTAGTGAATGTTTTCTAACAATGAGGACAGTTACTACATGTAGCTGAGAGAATTATTACAATTACTTGAAAATGTCTTATAGATAAAATGGTAAATTTTCAGTCCTTCAGGTTGGAAATGGGTAAACAAATATCTTTGCTTCCATGTAAATGTCATGTTAGTTAATGCAATGTTATTTCCAACTGCTTTTTAAAATCGAATGGAATAGATCCCCAAGGATCAATAAAGTTAGTTTGATTGATTATATTAATCAATCAAACTAAATTAATTCATTATGAGTGGTTGTGTTTCATCAATAACTCTTTTCTTTCTAAAAATGTCCTAAATGCCTTTTGCTTGTTATGTAAGCATAACTACAGCAGGTGACGCTGTGCTGTTACACCTCAGAGCCACCAGAGGGGCAGTCAGAGTTAAACTGGTGAGCAGGTGTGAAGTGGGGGTAAAATCAGCAGCATGTTTCTGCAGATTTCTGCTGTTTGGAACAGATTTATTGCCACTGACTGTAAATAGTCTGATGTTTGAACTGAACAAATGCATATATTGTAAATATTTTCAAACTATCCAATTGAGTTTCACATTCTTTTAGAATGAAACACTATTTTTTTATTAACTACACAATAATTTATGTTATAATTTTTGCCTCCCTATCTATCATCGATAGAAATATACAAATGTAGATGTATGCACACCTCTGTTAAAGTACATAAAAGCCCACAGTCCTCCACGAAAAACCTGTGAGTGACAAAATTAATAATAAATCAAAATTTACTGAAAACTGGAGGAACATTGATGACACATTGAGGAGAAGGATAATGACAGCAACCGAAGAGCCCAGAACAACCTCCATAAAAATCAAAGGTCAACTCCAAGGTCAAGGTACATCAGTGTCAAATCTGCCATTGTTTGAACCAAAGTGGATTTCATGGGAGACAACCAAGATGGAAAGCAGAGCATAAAAAAATTAGACTGAAATTTCCCGCAATGCATGCTGTCAAGGCACAAAGTTTCTGGGAGAATGTCCTCTGTAAGACAGGAAAAAACTGGAAGCTCTTTGTTTGCCAAGAAAAGAACTCTGGGAAACATGGAGGAGGCTGTGTGATGCTCTGGGCCTGCTTTGACTTGAGTCTGTGCAGGTTTGGTAAAATTTCAAGACTATCACAGTATTCTGCAGAGAAATGTGGTGCCAAGTGTTGGAAGCCTTGCTCATGGGTCTTCCAACAGGATAGTGACCCAAAACCCAGAACTGCCCAAGAATGGTCCAGAGCAAAACATTGGCCTTTTAGCAGCCCTGATCTAAATCTTGTTGAAAATCTGTGGAGCTGAAACATCTGGAGAAGGTTTTCCCTTCAACCGAGGCAACTGGAGAGGTTTGTTCATGAGGAGTGAACCAGGATACCTGTAGTCTGGTGTAGAAGTCTCACTGATAGTTAAAGAAATGGTTTGATTGCAGTGATTGCCTCAAAAGGTTGAGCAACAAAATATTAAGTTGCAGGTACCATTAGTTTTATCCTGGTCTGTTTCATTTGTTCAATTGCATTTCAAAAGGAATGTCTGATTTTCACTTGTTAAGTTTTAGAACATTTTTATTTACTATTAGTTTTGTCAGTTTCAAGTTATTTTAGTGAAAGCCCACGGTGCTACCAACAATTTTCTGCGTGTGCGTGTCTATATTTCTACATTTATATGAGAATTAGAGGTGTCAGGATAGAAGAGACAATGTCCCAGCCCACATTATAAGTTCTGAATGAACTTCATATTTATAAATCATTCCTTTTGTATGTCAAGCTCTTTTGGAAGGTTAAGAACAGCACAAACCAAGTTTGCAAATTTTTCCAGTCGGCAAAGTTGTTCTAATGATACAGAACAACTTCTCCTGTCTGACAGCTGCCTGACAATAATGCATTACTTGAAATAAGAATAGTCTTATCCCAGGTCAAGGCTATTACTTGACTGTTGCATTTCAGTTCTTTGACCTTGCCTATAAACTCCCAGATTTTCCACTTAAATCATGTCAAAGAGGATTCCTCTCCCTACTGTTGGACGCAGAGCTCTGACTGAGACTGACGGCAGAAAAGTTCAGAGTTCATCCCTCTGGCAGTGCTATAAACAGACACGGTGGAGGCTGTGGGGTTAACTCTCCCCTCCTCCTCGCTTGCCCATTTCCCTCTTTCTTCTCTGTCCCTCCCTCTGAGTAACATGATACTATTTCAATTAGGCTCCAGAGCCACACATGTTCCTTTTCGACAAACTTGAGCCCGGTACTGGTGCAATGCTGGACAGAAAACTCTTCCACTGTCAGAGCTTTATCGCTGTTCCCCTCTCAGAGAGAGTAATGTCATCATATCACAGTAAAACGTTGCTCCAGCTCCTGATTTATGATATTTCAATCTTCCTCTAGTGTGCGCTAAGTTTTCTTACAAGAAACTTATGAAACATATGTAGCTTTAATAAAAAACATAGTTTTTTACATATTTGTCAAAACTGTCACCATGTTGTGAGAGTTAATATGAGAAATAAGAAAAAAATAAGAAAAACCAAGCTGCTCTGCGTCTCCCTGTGATCCTACAGCCATCTGCAGAAATGCAACTTAGGTCAGAAACAACCAGTCACAGTCAGAAGGAGACGCTTAGTGCTGTCAATAAATCGTGTGTGCTCACTGCTCACATCCTCCCCTTTGCTTTCTGCTACACTAGCTGGTTCACCACAATGGCCTGTCATGAATTTTCAGGCTGGTTAGCATTGCCACCAAACGCAGCAGCTAAACAGAAAGTTGTTTTTCTGCCATTAGCACATTTAGCAGCATGGACATAAGCTTCATTGACAGCACCAAGCCCCTCTTCCTGGATCTGAGTGGCACAACTCTGTTTTTTACAAGATTCAAAGGCCTGGTTTGTTTGATGCTTCCACGTCATATCTAGTCAGAGGCTCTGCTGACAGCAGGGCTCAAATAAACAGTAAGCTTCTATAAAATGACTGCAACAAAGATTAAAAAACAAATATGGTACACTGACACTAAGAGATGTCTGCATGGGATAGTAGAGTTTTTAAAGTGAGAAAAATAATGCTAATTATTTGGTTAGCATTATGAGCTTATCTTATTCAGTTATAATCATTAACAGTGCTTATAACTGTTAATGATTATAACTATATTAGTTTTACTCTAATATAGATTAGAGTAAAACTCTCAAAAAGAGAATCGCTGCAGCTATGTGTCACCAGGAGGGGGTTGTTTTTCTGATGGTATCAGGGTGTAGAAAAGAGAATGAACGGTAAATAAGAAGACATGCTGTCTCTGATGCTAGCACATAAATCCATCTAAAATCTAAGTTAAAGTTAATGTGTCCAGAACACCTCCAGGTCCTCCTCAGGTGAAATGGAGAAGCAAAAGTTTTGAAGTGTTGGGCAAGAAGCACCACATTCTCACACAGACACACATCTTATTTCTGTTCTGAGAAGATTCTGATTCAAAACAATCCCAATTAACAATGTTACATTTCAACATGTAGGTACCTGATACCTGAGATATCAAGTAGTCAAGTTCACTGTTCACTGTTTCCTCAAACAGAAATGGGCCTTTTCCCGAATTCTACATGAAGCAGAAACAATAAAAAAAGGAAATTAACAGAGCTCCTTTAACTGAAACCTTTACATCAGGACAAGAGATGACTTCCTTAAATTGTGACTGTTTAGTAATTATTTGTATGGCATTGATTAACTAATGCCATACATTTGTTACTCTGCTGCCTCTTAACCAGAACTCCCTTGAAAAAGAGGTTTTCAATCTCAATGAGACTTTTCTGGTTAAATAAATGTGAAATAAAAGGACAAAAAAGAAGGTAACATGTTTTCCATCTGTGCAAAGAATACATCAAAAGACAGTAGCAGCAAATGTCTGATAAATAAGAAATGAAAACATAAATAAAATGTATAGAATATTGACTGTCCCTCAGTGAAAAGACATCCACTCCTATAAAAATACAAAACAGATGTTAAACATAAATAAAAAACTGAATATGTACAAAGTAAAATATCAAATATGATACACTTACAAAAGTTTTGGAGTGAAAGTGCATCACAGCTTGGAGAAAACCCCCCCAACCCCTGGCCCTCTCCTGATTGGCTCCTTCATTCTTCCCATATTGTCTTGAAGTAGATTTATCAGCTCACTAGATTCTTGGCAAGAAATGTGTCACTGTCATCGCTGGTGACACTCTGTTTCCTCTTTTTGTTTTGCCATTCTTGCTCAGGCCCATGAACATCCTTGGGTAGGCGGCCGACTCATAGGCATTGTAGTTGTTGGCGAGGAGCTTCTCTCTGAACTTGCACTCGTTGCTATAGTGTAACTGCAAGAGAAAAGAGATTCTTTTGAAAATGTTAATTGTTTAAAGACAGAAATAAAACAATGATGTCAGGAAATTTTTGTAGGGGAATTTCAAATCTGCATTGTTCAGTGTGATTTCTATCAAACAATTGTGTTATTTTTGACTGCAGGGTTATCATTGTGCATTCAGCCTCATTTTACACAAAAAATCCGATTGTGAAAAGATGAATAGTGTAAGTGAAGGACAACACTGGATTCTGAGTGTGTTGTGCTTTTTGTCCCTAGTTTGAGGAACAATAGTTCTTGACCTGCATTAACTATCATGCTACTAAATTTAGGTATTAATTCATATTTAGCTGTTATCTTTAATAACCAAACTCTAACCATACCAAACCTTCAGCATTATGAAACTGGACAAAAATGAAGAGATCCTCGAATGAATCTGTGGTGTTGCTTTGACGAGCTTGTGATGTTCAGCAGGTATAAACTCTTAAAGAGCTGGAGTTTGACTGGAGCTTCTGGTTTTGCCTAAATGTTCACTGAAAGGCAAATGATTTAAAACAACAACAGTAACACACATGACAAGCCCAAACTTCAACATATTTACTGGAATTTTATGTGATAGATCATCACAGGACATCACATACTGGAGAGATGTAGGAATGCCTCAGTTAAGAATGAAAAACAAGCATCAGTATGAATCGAGTCTGCAGAGTCTTTGATCCAAAATAATCTGAAATGTGACATTTACATGAGGAAAGTTCTAGTTTCTTCTGTTTAAGACCTGCAGATGTCAAATTCTGCTCCCAATACCTTGGTTTATATATTAGTGCAGAAGCATTCATTTTTCTCTAACATTTTAGTTAGAATGTCAGGATACATTGTACTTTAATGTAAATCTAGACTTCCCCATATTTAACTTAGAATGAAAAACATAATTTTCAGCAAATGTTATAAAAATAAAAAATTGTGGTGATTATTTGTTTTTGTTCTCGAAAGTCAACATTTTACATGTCATTTCAGAGAAACTCCAGCAGCAGGTTTTTGGGACATGTTTTGAGCTGCGGACAGCTTGAGACTGAAACAACTGTCTATTCCTCTAAACAGAATGAAGCTAACTTAATTAATTAACTAATTAATTTATTTATTTATTAATGAAAGACAGGCTCTGTCTTGAGTGCTTCCAGTAACATTCATCATTAGTATTTAACCTCATACAGAATTTTGAATGTTTCATTTTGATCTCATTGTGGCCTCACTTTTGCATGCAGTGACGTGAAAAAGTTCCAAGCATATGAATATTCAATATGAAGATGTGATTCCTTAGTTTCTGAACAGTGGATATATAGAAATTGTAATTTGTTGTGATGAAGGTTAAGGTACTTCTGGTATAACTTGTGTTAGTGTTTTTGCTGCTGTGAAGCAGTGATATTTTCTCCTTAAGAATGCCAAATGTTTAGCAGGCGGACCTATGGAGGTATTTTTGGTGCAAAGGTATTTGTGCCTGGTAACTTTGAAGTTAAAGTCAGAGATGAAAACCTATAGGAGTTTGTAATCGTCTTCAAATTCTTAAGAACAAGTACACAAATTCTATTCTTTGAGTCGCACGTTTAAAAAAATCTTATGTTTAGAGTTTTTCCCCAAATGATCTAAAACAAATGGTTGCAAACCTTTTGTTGCAAAAAAAAGAACTTGTCTATTTCTTTATCAAATATAAACAAACCTACTGCCACACCTTCATGGATTCTTCAGTACAGAAACACACATTCCATTCCAGAAGTCACAAAATATAAAAGTCCTGCTCAAACTTTTTCTCAGTCCAGAACATTTGGAGCTAAACTAATTCAAACACATGTATAAGCATCTTCACACAGGCAATTTTTTTAATAATTATAATTTGAAGTGATGCAACTATGCAAAAATGCTGATGCAAATCACAATCCTGCTTCACAAACCACACTGCCTTTCCTTGCAGGCTTCAGTTTTGTATCTTGTCAAAAGAGAAGCAAAGTGATATGCTTGGTAGTGGTGTGAGTGTCTCCTGCATTACTTACAGGGAGCACCTGTACTGCAGGGGGCGCTGCCGAACTCGATAGTAAAACAAACCAGAAATTCCACCATTCTTACACCATGTTCCAAATTATTATGCAAGTGATATTTTCTTAGATTTTCATAAATAGTCCGTTCAAATGATAAATGTCAAGATCTATTACAGTATAAATCAAATTTGACTGAACAAAGCTCTCCTTGAAAACAGTATTTGTAATAAAAAACTCAAAATGCACTGTTCCAAATTATTATTCACAGCAGATTTTCTAAACATTTTATGGATTATAAAATACTGCAAACGGTCATTCTTTGAATGTGCAGCATTAAGTGATCACATGTACTAAAATCAAAAGCTGTTTCAATCAAAAACATCTTAACTAACAGAGTTACATGGTAACATAGGACCTTCTTTGATATCACCTGCACAATTCTTGCATCCATTGAACTTGTGAGTTTGTGGAAAGTTTCTGCCTGAATTTCTCTGCAGGATGTCAGAATATCTTCCCAGACCTGCTGTTTTGATATGAACTGCTTTCCACCATCTGATCTTCTGCTTGAGGAAACTCCAAAGGTTCTCAATAGGATTGAGGTCAGAGGAGGATGGTGACCACACCATGAGTTTCTCCCCTTTTATGCCCATAACAGCCAATGACACAATGGTATTCCTTGCAGCATTCATTGTGATGCATGCAGATGTTTTTGCTATGGAACATACGGCTCTTCTTTTTGAACCATGAAAGAAAGTGATCGGTCAGAAAGCCCATGTACTTTGCAGAGGGCATTTTCACACCTTCAGGGACTCTGAAGGGCCCGACCAGCTCTCTCTCTCTCCCCATGATTTCAGCCCAAAGCATGACTCCACCACCTCCTTGCATGTTAGCATTAGCTTATTAGCAATCAGTGATTCTGTGATGTGATAACTGTCTGACAGAGGAGATGGCAACATCTGCACTTCCAACACGAACATATAAACTTCTGACATGTTTGTCATTCCATTTCTAGTCATAGGAAAACAATTAATTCTGAATTGTAAAAATTCTAATCATTTACAAGTCATTACAAAATAGAAAAGAAAACATTGGAAAGCATGAAATCTGTTATGCTTTTTATGACTTGACTCGTGGTACAAATCAGATTTAAAAGCTGAAAATAATTTTGCTTAGTATTGAGGCAAGTTATCTTCTTGACTTGGGTCAACCCTTCTGGGTTTTCTTGCGGAAACATCGCCCAGTAGTTTGCAGGAGTTCTGATTCTGAACCGGTGGATCTGAGTTAGGTTTATAGGCCACGTCGCTCACACACACACAAATTCTCTCTTGGACTGGGATCTGGGCTCTGTAACGGCCAGAGCATTTACTTTGTTATCCTGAAGACATTTTATATCCTAATTGGCTGCTGAGGGTCAAAGTTAATCTGGAACCCAGTTTGACTAAAGCTTTAACTTCCAGTTGACATCTTTAGATGTTGCTTCAATATTTTCCACATAATTTTTTTCCTTATGACGCCATATGTTTAATAAAGTGGACCAGTTCCTCATGCAGCAAAACAACCCACAGCATGACACTACCACCGCCATACATCACAGTAAGGATGATACAACAACGGTCATCATGTCCAAATAGTTCCACTTTTAATTTCATCAGATCACAGGACATGTCTCCATAACGAACAGGACATGTCTCCATAAACAAACAGCAGCATCTTCACAAGGTCTTTGACTTCAATTCTAGGGTTGATTCACACATTTAAGACCAGAAGCGTACCCATCTTAAACGTCATGACCGTTGGACTTTCCCATCATGACTAAGACTTAACAGGTGAACTCCACCAGCAGTGGATGAACCAGACTGGAGCAGCTCCTAGATTGTCTTCCTTACATCTGAGCTGATTTCTGCTGCCGACCTTCCCATCATGTTCAACCATAAAATAGAGTGAGCTCTAATAAACTCAAATGTGTCAATTAGCCTATTAGAAGTTCCCAAAGCCATGACATCATCATTTGCACTTTTCCTCACTATTTAAAGAGACAGGAATCATAATGGATGCAAACTTCTAATTTTAAAGACGTTAATAAATCTGTTACATTCTTTCATTATTAGCAAGAAGAAATCATTCTGACAAAAGAAGTTAGGAATAATTTAACTTCAGAAAGTGAAAACAGGTGGATATGGCCTTATTTAGTATACATCTACTTATGTTAATGACACACCCAGACTCTTAACTTGAGGGATAGAAAAACACAAAACTTATTAATTCTGAGTGGAAAGTTGCAGGGTTTGATTAAACAGACTTGGAAACACTTAGGCAAATCTGTGTTTTGTCCTTTATCTTTTTAATATTCCAGGCAAAATGCCTCCTGTCTCAACTGAGGACAACAACAAGCTCCTCCAGAAAATAACAGAAATGAAGATTATGAGTTTGACATCTTTGTTAAAGTAAATGTGAAAGATGCCTGAGAAGCACTGCAGCAAACAGTCCTACGTGGAGCTCTCTCTGCGCAAAACTGAACAACAAAGTCTTTCAAATCCCCCAAAGGAAGAAGTTAAAATGGAAAACAAAGAATTGTTACTTCGTTTGGGTCTCACCTAAGGATCAGGAATATCTTTGTGTCACTAGGTACCAACTGGTAACTCATCAGAGTTATGAAGGAGTCATATTCAGGGATCCCCAAGGTTCCATCTTGGAGGGACGTCTGATTCAATATTTACATGCTCTCATAAGTTCAGATCATTAGTAGTAATAAGCTGTCGTGACTATGCTGATGATACACAGCTCTACATCACAATGTCACCAGATAGCAACGAACCCATTTGGCTTCTATCATCTGAAGAACATTTCCAGGCGTTATCCCTAAAACAAGAAAATAAAACACATTGCCACAGTTTTAAAGTTCTTACATTGACTCCCTGGAGCTCAGAGGACAAAGTTTGAAATATTTGTGTTAGCACCACCACATTAAAGACCTATTGTTGTATCAACCTTCTACATCTCTCAGGTCTTCTGGTTCTGGTTAACTCAGCATTCCCAGAACCAGAACCAAACATGGAGAAGATACATTCAGTTTTATGTTCCACAAATCTGGAACATACTCCCAGAAAACGGTTGAAACACTGAGTTTGTTGTTTACTTTTCCATTTGATCATGTAATCTACTTTGCGTTGATTTGCTGCTTAAATTGTGCTATGCAAATGGAATTACCTCATCTTGCTTTGCCTTGTAGAAAGAACACTCCTTAGCTGCTAAGCATCCTCTAACAAAGCTCTACTATGAGTTCAGTGACAATCCAAAAAATGGGGAACATTTCTACCTGTGTGTCTGTCTGTTTAGTTTTTGTTCCCAGGTTCCTACAGTAGAAACAACAGGAAGGGAAAGATTGCCCCAGAAAACTATCCTGGTACTTGAAAACGTTCTGGCAGTGAAAACCCACCAACCCTTTGACTAGGATGATGGGAACAGGGTCTCAAAGGCATGTCTCCATAAACAAACAGCAGCATCTGTTCGTTTAGGTTTAGGTTTTTTAATCAGATGATTTAGGTTTTTTAATCAGATCAGATATTTCAATGTGAGATTAAAACTCAAAGATTAAAATTAATAGAGTGAGAGAAAGTGAAAGAGAACAACATTCAGAACAGATAGGTGTCCGCATGAGTTACAGGTTGTCTTTTTTCTTTATCTCCCTTTATCCTGGGCCAAAATCATTAGCAACCTGACCATGCCTTAACACCTTGAAGGATATTTATAATGTCCCAAGAAATTCAATGAAATGAAAATAAATATTGTTTTGGATTTCAACGCGCATGGAGGCTGAATGCAGAGGATAGATTTCAGTTTCTGGAGAGCCAGTGTGATGTTTCTGTCAGTGATGCCCTGGGGTTCAGGTCATGTATTTTTGCTGGCCCAACGTTGCCACTGCGATCTATGGGTGATTTCTGAGCATTTCATTCTTCCTTCTGTCAAAAGTTTAATTGAGATTCTGATTTCCTTTTTCATCTGGACTTGGGACCGGCCCACACTTCCTAAGAAACCAACACCTGATTTAATTTGCTCATCATCGTGTTAATGTTTCCTCAGAGAATCAGAATCACACTCTAGTGGCTGAGCACACAAACAAGAAAATTCACTTTCACTTTTCACAAGAAGTACAGACACATAATCTGGATAGTGTACATCAGAGAAACAGCCTGGGACACTTACAAGGGCAACAGGTATTTATCGATGTACGTATTGGTGTGTACTGTGTGACTTGAGAGAGCAGCTGGGTGAAAAGAGGTGAAAAGGCTGTAGTGCAAAAGAGTTTTAAGTCATGATCATGAACAGAAAAGCACTTTATAAGTTAAGACTATTTACCTTAAAGCAATCTGAGCCTTATCGATCCCTTAGTAGAAATGCTAAAATACATAACCATATCAAATTTATTGACACACACCTGCTAGAATAAATGGAGAATGGAAGTGTTCACCTGAAAGCAGTAGCAGGTCTTCCCATTCTACTACAACATACAACAAAGGTTTTTGTATGTTGCAACAAATTAACATTGAGATTTTGGGGGAAAAAAACTAAAGGATTTTCTTTGAGACATTGAAGTTGAGTTTAACACTGAAGTGTTATTTCTGCTGTTGCTTGTTTGTTATTGACTCTATAATAACATATGTGTGTGTTTCCTTAATATGGAAACGCACACATTTTTACTAGCAAATGATCAAGATATCAGTTTAGTGGAGATGACATAACTTGAATTCATGACATCTAAAATATTGACCAGCCTAGGAAACTGATATCACATGCAAAAATAGCTGGTTATTAAAGCAGAAACAAAATATCTGTTACAGAAGACAACAGAACATGTATCTATTAAAATAACTGAATACAGATCCATAAACACTCACAGATCCATAAAGTTTTCCTCTTCGGTTCATGGCCACAAAGAGCCCACTGTGAACACCCAGCAGAGTAACCACCCCTCTCTCCACAGGAGAGATCTGCAGCAGACCTTCAGAAACATAAAAATGCAAGTTGAAACCGACCAGCAAGGGGGAAATATTTCTTCTAACAACTTTAGCTTTCTATCTGTCAGTGATTGGAGTCATCACACTTTGTTTTTCAAGTTGAGAAAACATTTCAGCTGCACAATTACCATTGCAACATTTCACATAAAAACTCATTTGTTCATTTTTTGATAGTAATTTAAAACTATCAAGTGTATAAATTAAGTTTGGAAACCAATAAAGCAAAATGTCATTTACCAGTTTTTTGTGGTTTTTTATAGACATGAAATTGGTTTGAAGACTACACACACACACTGCCTTGAACTAAACCAGAGGAGAGTTGGTCATTCTTTGGAGAAGGTGTATGAATCAAATGTTAAGTTTAACATGTGTGAATGTTCTGCTGTGGCTTTCACGCTGCGGAGCGTTTCTGAGCTTTTGTATCAGATGCTTTTCTGAGATTTTATGTCTTGGCTTTAAATAGAACAAAGCTATAAGAATAACCTGACAGCTCCACATTTGTCTTTTAAACATTTTGGATCCACAAGTTAAAGCAGCGATGAAAAAATATAAGAGTTTATTATTTACACAAAGGGTTTTCAGTCCAACAACCCATAAATATAAAGTGGTGCATGGGGGTTAATCTGTCCTCACAGCCGGGCCTGTCCTAACTTTAGGGTTCTGGCTGGCTACAGGCCCGAATTACAGCAAGCTCTGGTTACACGTCAGGCGCAAAAGCTTGCGCATATTTGTGCTGATTTTCGGAACCGAAGAGGGACTCCAGATGTTTTGAAGGTGGATCAATATGAGCAGAGCAACGTCGCGTCTTGGGGATCCAGAGGCCTGGATCAGGTGAAAGAGCTGAGGTGTTGTTAAGGATTCAAACCTGGGCAAAACGGTGAGTTAGTTCCTATAGTTTACACTGGAAACATGGTGCTATTTATTTAGTAACAGCTCGACTTCTCTGTGGACTTTGGTTAAAAAGCTACAGGTTCGGAATGGATCAGTTCAGCCCATTGAATGATAATGATAAAAGCCACTTACTGTAACGATTCTCGCTGTGTATTCCTGTTATTCTGCCATCGGGTAACACTTGTATATGAAAACCAATCCCCACGTTGCAGTAGAGGCGTCGCAACCGTTTAATGCCTAGGAGGTAGTCTCCGTCCCGACTGATCTCCTCCCGCTTTTCCCCCGAGATCCGTGCCAGAGAGCGGGAGTAGAGGGCCTCCCAGCGCTCCGCGGTCCCGTTCAAACCGGGGGCGCATCCCGCGAGGGCCGTAACCAGGTTCAAAACTAGGACGGTCCTCAGGGCCGACAAAGAACTCATGCCAGGTTTGACTGTGAAAGCAGCCTCCAGCGTGCGCTCTGCAGCGAGGTGACAGGACGACACAGGCGAAGCAGCGGCGCGACACAGAGAAGCGCGTAAAAGTTGCGCTCATTCCCAGACCGACAGGCGCACTGACTTCAGCGCTGGGGCGACATTGATCTGCACGGCCGCTGAGCAGCCATGCCTCTATATTTATACCTGCAGACACATTACATCACAGCTCCACACTTACAATCTACAAACTAACACACTCGCTTTACCAAACAGAACAGGCCGCTTTGTTGTGACCAAATAATAGAAAACTTATCTCGGAGAAAAGTTCTGACTTTTTGGAAAATATTCTAATAAAGGCTTTATTATAATAGAAAACAAGTCTTTGTGCGAGACGTTCATTATCAGCAACAGAATATCCTAATTTATGTATTGAAGGATGTAAAATAGGAAACAGTCAAGTTAACAGACCGTGTTGCCGAGACAGGAGACAGATCTATAAATGAACAATAACAGGAAAAAACACAGGTCCAATTCAGCTAAATGAAAAAAGCAGCACTTAAGACTGGTGGAGGGGAAACCATGTCCCAAGCCCTTCCACGGAACAATGGTTAGACTAAATAGAGCCTGTTAAGCACGTTAAGTACTGTCACTGTCACCAAGCCTTATTTCAGCCCTCAGCTGTGTATTAATAGGATTTATTTATTATGTTCGAATAAATTTTGGTAATACAAGTAAACGAATCTCAGTCCAAGAGACTCCTTTGTTCTACAGGCTCTACTTTACATCTGTGAACATGTGTGTGTGTGTGTGTGTGGGTGTGTGTGCGTGTGTGTGTGTCTGTGTGTGTGCGCGTGTGTGTGAGCGTGAGTGTGTGTGGGTGTGTGTGTGCGTGTGTGTGCGTGTGTGTGTGTGTGTGTGTGGGCATGTGTGTGTGGGTGTGTGTGTGTGTGGTTGTGTGTGTGTGTGTGTGTGTGTGTGTGTGTGTGTGTGTGTGTGGGCATGTGTGTGTGGGTGGGTGTGTGTGGGGGGGGGTGTGTGTGTGTGGGAGTGTGTGTGTGTGTGGGCATGTGTGTGTGTGTGATGTGAGTGTGTGTGTGTGTGGGGGGTGCGTGTGCGTGTGTGGGAGTGTGTGTGTGTGTGTGGGCATGTGTGGGTGCGTGTGTGTGTGTGTGTGTGTGTGTGTGTGTGTGTGTGTGTGTGTGTGTGTGCGTGTGTGTGGTACTTTTTCCTTTTTTGTGGTGAATCATAATGTAAGCCAGTTTTTTCTATCACTGTTAAATTTATGATTTTCTACAACTCAGACAAAACAATTTCAGGGCCCCTTAAGCTTACTCCACACACGCACACACACACATCCAAACAGCTGAATATTGATTGTCCCCAATTATTTTACAGCACTGACCTTAATATTTCATCCTCATAGTCTTTCTAATGAAATGATGTTTTGTTGTCTCTTTTTCAATTATCTTACAGTTTGATTTAAGCCAGTAGAGCCACCAGCTCTCTGTATTCAGTCATATCCAATAAATTAAAATATTATTGACAGGTTAATTAATTTTATTCACTTCATAAAGAAAATAAAGAAGTTACCTTCTGAAGAACATTTCCAGGATTAGAAATGTCCTAACAAGATCTAGAGAAAGTCATTGTTTTATCTTTGGTTGCATTGATTACTGCAGCAGTGTCTTCACAGGTCTGCCTGAAAAATCAGACACCAGAACGCTCAGATCCAGAATGCTCCAGATTTCAGCCATGACATGTGAGAGCTTGTATGTTTGTTGCTTGTTGTTTTCATCATGTAAAGCATGTTGATCTTGTGCTGAGGAGGCCATACAAACAGCTCTACCTCACCTGAAGTTTAACATACACAAATGGTTTCAAGTATTGATTTATGGTAATTATTATAATGTTTTGCTTACATATTGCCAAAACATAACATTTAAAATTAAAAATTTATGTGAGATCAACATTCTTTTTTCACATGTGGGCTTATGAAAATATGTTCACTTTCTGTTTAAAAATGTTTATTTTCAAAAGGTTCTTTTATTCTTATAAATCAGAAAACATTTTCTATTTCACTGACTATGATTAAGGAACGGGTCCGTTGGATTTCCAGAATGTCTGATCTCTGCTCCGGCTCTGTCTTTCTCCTTAGTGACCATGGATGGAGGGTTTTCTCATTTTCACATTTGACTGCTCTGAAAGGTGTGACTGCATTGTTTCTTTGCAGGCTACAAAATTATTTGGACACAAATGTTTGAGGTTGTCATGAGGTGCCTCAGCATGGGCTACGTTGGCCTAGAAATACCAGCAAACTAACCAGGAAACCAACGCAGAGGACCAAAAGAAAACAGGCGAAAGCGTGGCCCAGTTTTTCAGAGCCTGAAGAGCTGGAACCATTCACACTCCATGACATGGAGCACTGACGCAGTATTAGTCTTCAAGAACAAGCATTTGGCCAAACCTCTGAGCTTTGCTGATGGGTTGCTTGACTGCTCATGTGCAGAATGCAGGTCGCTGGACAATAGAGCACTGGAATAGTTGCAACTGGACTTTGTCATGTGAAGGAAAGGGGATGACATGCCATACAACTCTTTAGAGAAGTTTGGATCCTTTGTTTGCTGCAACACCTGGCTGAAAATCTGTCAGTCCTGTAGGGGGTTATATCAGATATGCAGTCAGTCACAAATACCTTCTTGGTAAATGATGGAGCCCCAGCTATGTGAGAGTAATGTGGCTCATTCCATTTCCAGGACTTTCAAGACATTTTTGAGCAGCGTAGACAGGCAGGGCCGGCGCTGTCCATGGTTCTGTAAACTCTTTTACTCACAATGAAATAAAGTGGGTTAAGATAACCACCATTCAGTCGAGCATAGATTTGTAAGTTATGTCCAGCTTTATTTTCTGTTTATGTTGCACTAACGTCATTATGGTTTCAGGTTGCAGGTACGCAATGAATTATGCCAAGGGTTAGGGGTTTTGGATTTCACAGGGTGGCAGCTGCAATTTGGAGCTTAAAATGTCTCAGCATTCAGTGCATGCATTCTTTCACTCTCTTGTTTATTCATCACAAAAAAGGAAGCCTAGACAAGGAAGATTTAAGACAACTGGCTTTGGAATTTATTTTTGTCCAAATGTTAATATTTCAGAACAACTGTGAATGAGTCATGGTAAAGATTGAAATGAATTATTTTCCAAAGTTGGATTTGGATGAATTTAATATTTTGATACATAAAAAATAAATAAATAAATCCATAATGCATTACTGTTGCATTTATGTTGAAATTCTAGCCGTGGTATTTTTATTTAGAGAATACATCTTCATTTATAAAAGACAAGAGTTGTGTGTCTGTAAACATTTCTGTTTTTACTAAATGTTGACCAAATTCACTGTAAATTGAGCTCTTATTTAATTACTCCATGCCAAGTAGAAAACCAATTTAAAACAGAAAAGGTAAGAAGTAAATTAATAAACTAAGAAAAACTGAAAATCACAGAATGAAATGAAAGTTGTGATGGTTTCCACCTGTAGAGGTCACTGTGTCCAAATGAATGGTTCCATTCTCAATTGCTGCTCAGCATTTCAGCTTCAGGATGAGGTTCTGTGCTTACAGATGGGATTTCTGATCAAACATTTGGGTCATTATTTGAAAGCAAAAAAAATGTATAGATATAAAATAATGACCATGAAGAGAATAGTTGTTAGGTTGACTGGACTGTTGCAAGAAAACTATTTTAATCAGTGATATCGTTTTCATGTTGCCATTTCAATAGAAGAAAAAACTAATTTAAGGAATGACTGGTTGGTTTAATGCTGCTCATCTGGTCAAACTAAGAACTTTGCTGAAGCTCCCAAAAAGCGACAAACTTTCTGCTTAGAGAGCCTGTTCTTTCACTTTATGTCAATTCATTTCCCTTTGAGATCTTTCAGCTCAGAGTTAGCTCACAAGTTATTAATCAGTATACAGTAAATCTAATAAATCTTACTCTGAAGGATCTAATATGATGAAAGAAGACGTCATGTAGGAAGAGATTCATAAGATAAATCCCTGTGAAACAGATGGCTTTCGGACACAGGCCACAAAAGGCCCTAACCGCTCTCAAGTGCTGCATTCCTGCAGAGTAATACTAGAGTGTGGCATTCATAACAAGGTGCAGCAAGGTGTAACACTTTGTATGATACCGTTTCTGCTTTCAGGAGGACCAGCCTTGTTTATCGACTGCAGCTTTTGGTCGGCTTTTCAAAAAAACTGCCTTAAAGTCTCAGGCGGCATCGCTTCCCAGGCCCCCCCTGGGAGGAACTTTTGTTCTGGCCAGGAAGCCTCCCCTGCCTGCAGGTATAGGATGACAAGGCTTTATATGCCGCTGCCTATAGATGGGAAAGAGGCAGGGCAAAACCTGAACTTCGAATGAGTCGTGCTGCTGCTTGTGGTGAATTTAACACTGATGACTGCAGGTTGTACTCAACCGTCTTACACTGACAGAGTGGCTGCAGGAGGAGACGGATGTTAGCAGGAAAGATGGACTTCCTCCTCATTTGGCCAAAAGACAGCAGCAGACTTCTACATTCAATTGACAATTTAGCCACAGGTATTAGTTTGTCTTCATTTTCAGTTTCAAATATATAAACATTGCAATAATGATTCCTGTAATCTAATGAACTTTTGCTTTTTGAATGCCTCAACATTTTGCCAACAATCACTACAATCCGGTAGCGAGCCGTCATCAGTGTTTGAATGTCCCCTATGAGAGCTTAATGGGATTTATTTACAAATAAAATCAGTAATAATAAGAATAAAAGTAATTATCATTACTAGTAATAATAATTGGTATTATATTATGTCATTACATGTACTACTAATAATAATAGCAATCCTTTATTATTATTATTATTATTATTATTATTATTATTATTATTATTATTATTATTATTATTATTATTATTATTATTATTAATAATAATTATTATTGTTATAACTTTAAAGTTATGGTAGAAAAGTAGCATTTTCACCAGAAACACAATAAACCATTGATGACTTCTAATTTTAACAGGGGAAGAATATCGTAATCAGTCCTTACAACATACACTTTTACTGGAGGAAGACTACACACACACTCACACACAGTTGGTTTTTTCTTCTGGGTCAGTACCATTATGTTTTTTATGTTGGAACCAGGCAGCAAGAGAAAACTGAAACAGCCATATTGGTAAAATGCAGAAATCGTCTTATCAATAACTTACAACTCAGACAGCAAATAAATATTCATATCATTTGTGAAATATACAAAGTACTTCTTTCAGTTCACACACAGTAGACTATCACATTGTAAGAACATTGCAGATGCTCGTGCCTCAAGCTGATTTCCTTATTCTTCTTACTGTGAATCTGATAAAAAGTGCTTCTCCATGTACAGTCCCCTCTTCAACTTCCATAATGATTAATAGCACTTAATAATTGGGAAATAGTACTTCGATTCTGACAAACATAAAGCTTATATGCTGCTGTACAGGCCAGCTGAACATATGCTCTAAGGCCTGTGCACACAAAATAGGATGGATATTACAACAATCTGTTTACATTTGTTTACATGACAGTTGTATTTGTAAGAAATCGGACATCAATTATCAGAGGATTATACAGCAGTGGAGTTGTAGGCCAGAGTCTCCAGAGAGTGGCAGGTTTTAGAAAGGCATAAAAACCAGAAACACTTTGGTGGCCTTTGAGTTCCCCTTCCTTTTTGATTGAACTTCCCTTTATCTCTGTACACCAACAAGAACTTCCATCAATCCAGAATTTGGGATCCAAGACATTTTCTCACATCCTTCCTTGCAGTCAAGCTGCAGTATGTGCCGAGATCAAGGATCCATGTAGATGAGTCGTAGCAGAGGGAGATGAAATCCAAACCTCATCTCTAAAAGTTTGCTGAGTCATCAGGCTATTGACCTCGACCTTTCCCATCACGATGCCGCCGTCTCCGGCGTTCACCACGTCGCCCCTGCTGATGATGTGTTTGCTGGGCACCTTGAATGTCCCTCAGCTTCCTCACCATCTCATGATCCTTGTTGCCCAGCACCCGAGGCAAGAAGAGTGAGGCTTTATCAGTGCTCCGAGTTTTAAAACCTCGCCGCGGCCGCCCTTTCCCGTTGATGGAGATGAACCATTGCCTCCTGACAGTGGCCCGACGCTTGCTGCTGCTGCTGCTGCTTGTTCCCGGTGGCAGGGGCTGCTCTGTGAAGTGTTGTCGTGATGCATAAGTGTTGTACCCCAACTCATGGATCCGTTCCACAAATTCACACTCTTTGTTGAAAACCTCCTGGGGAAAGGAAGAGGGGAAAAGGAGTGACCAATATGCCAATTTTTGTATAATAAAGTGTGTTTTTGTTTTCCTCCTTTAAAGTTTCTTACATAATAAAATGTTGGCTGCAAACTCACTCAGTTTAGCTTCGTTTAAAACTAAATGTTTTGACTTGTGTGAAAACATTTTGTCCTAAATGTGTTGCAGTGAAGCTGCAGTGACAGAAACTGAACAATGTGAATATTTATTTGTCTTAACTAATAAAATGGGGAATCAGAGTCATTTTCATTTTTAAGTATTTTTATTTATATCTGTATGTTACAATCATTTGTGTTTCTCAGAACTGGTAGAGCGGAAATAAATGAACCACCAACATTTGGTGTAAAACACAAAGTTGTGGTTCATGATCTCTGGGACATAAACAGTAGAAAGACAGGTTGTAATTGTGTACTGACCGAGGCGTACAGCCTTCCTTTATCGTTCATGGCGAGATATTTGCCTGAGAAAAGCCCTTTTATGGCCACGACACCCACATCCACTGCAGTGATCTCCATGATGCCTGCAGAGAAACAGAAATATTAAAGGTGAACTTCAAGTCATAGTTTTCATGCCTACAAGTGCAGCTCTTCCGTTTACATAAAACACAAATAAGCAATGAACTATATATATATATGTTTTTTTCTGTGCTGTTAAAATGAATTTCTTGCGGGAGCCTCATTATGGGGCCCGTTCCGTCTCCTGACGCATTGAGCGCCGCAGAGAGGCTTCAACAGGCTCATTAGATAAATACATCCGCTTTATGCTGCTTCTGCTGCTGCTAGGACCCGCAGATCAACCTGCATGTTTCAGATTTCAGCCTGGGCGAGGAGCTTCGAGTGGCCCCAGCATCACTGCGATGGATCACTAAATCACACGAATCATTTCTGAGAGTAATGCAGACTGAAGTCTGAAATATACAAAGACATCAAGAAAAAATAGAAAGCAAATACAAAAGAAAGAGATGAAGAAAGAGTGCGTTTAAATTTAGCCCCATTAAATGTTACTCTTAATTTCTTCCAAATCTTGAAGTTGTTCCCACCGGGAGGCCAGGTCTCCTCGCGTTTGGAATGATCCACTTAAGCTTCTAAAAGTTCTGTCTTGTTTGTGAAAACAGAAAAAAAAAAACAAGTACTCACTGAACGGATTATCTTCCTCTAGTGATCCATCAATCTTCCCGTTAGGATGGATCTGCAGATGATATTTGGTAGCGCAATAAAGTTTCCTGCGCCTCGGCGCTCCTCCGAGGTGCTCATACACTCCTCCGCGGCCCCCGGCGTCTCTCCGCTGCCGGGGGTCACAACCCTGGCTCGGCGAGCAACGGGCCCGGGGCCAAACGGGATCCAACAGGCTCGCCAACACCAGCAGAGGAATCATCAGCATTGTGGCATGGTCGGCGGGGAACGATTGTTGCAAAAATTCGGATAATACCCGGCCAGCTCTCCGGGTCCCATGAACGTGTCGGGCCCCTAAAGCTGAAGAACTCCAGCCCCGGTGTACATCCAAGCCCCACGGGCAGTTCTGACAGCACAGTCGGCCCCCGGGTTGGGATCCTCCTCGCTTCTCTTGCAGGAAAGCCCTCGTGTGAAGCTGACTGAGAGCCTCGCCTCAGACTGAGCGCAGATATAAAAGAAGCTTGTGGCGACAATAGGCTGAACTTCGACCAATTGATACAAAGGAGAGGGGAGGCAAAAGGTATTAGCCCTGTGTGAAGTGAGAGACAGCGGCATGGATAAAATTACATAGTGGCAAAGTGCGAAACAGCTCTCCTCTCTGAACTCCTCTT